CTTCCAAACAGTCAATGCTGCCCCCAACCATGGATGGTGAAGTCGACATCAATGGAATTGTGGAGCATCGAATGATGCCAGTGCCTAAACCGCCAGGCAGAGGCCGCCCTCCTAAGCTGAGAATGCAGTACCGTGTCAGATTCAGACATCATCTGGATCCCAAGGAAGATCGGCCGTTCACTAGAGAAGATGCCACTAGAGCACCTCAAGTTATTGCAGGCTATGAAAGAAAACTCAAGGGGAAGATGCCTGCAGAATAGAAGACTTCTGAGGACTATCGAACAACAGGAGGAGGGAATGCGAGGATCTGTGTCCTCGTCAGGCCTAAGGGGGCCCCTGTTGCAGATGTGCCCGCCCTAAGTGAAGGTGGGCCTAACAAATTACGAGAGGCCCTCGGCTGTCAATTTCACATTTGGGTTCCAAGCAGTTGTGATGCGCCAGTTGGTTGAAGGAAACACAGGCCGAGCAGCAAAGAAATTCCACGGCCCTCCTGGCCTTTTCGGAAAATGCAGGCCGTGGGCAAGAATCGCAGCCTCATACACAGACAGTTGGGAGGACCAACCAAAAGAGGCCCAGTAGCTGCAACAGAGGCGCAGCATCCTGGGGCCTACCGGAAGCTTCTGGGCCAAGGCCCAGGCCAGCCAGGCTGCGAAGGCAGGCAGGCTCTTTCCATATAGGAAAGAGCTCGCTGCCTGGAGGGGATTCAGCACTTGCATGCTGGCAGCAGCGCTGCTGGAGCGGACCCTCGTGGGCTGCTGCTGGTGCTGAGAGGCAAGGTGCTAGCGGATGCGGTCGTGCAGGAAGAAGGGCGCTGCTGAGGGCAGCGCCATAGCCCAGCCTCCATAGTTGGATGGGCTTGGACTTTAGTGAGGCACAGGGGTGGTCTTCAGGTGTACAGAGGGAAGACGTGGGTGTACGAAGAGGGAGAGAGAGAAGGATGCTGATGATGATGATGTGAGGGCACATACCTGGTATTGGCGATAGTCTGCATTCGGCGACATCTTCAAGTACTTCGTGGGCTGCTGACGTCAACAGTTGCATTGTCAATTAGTAGGCAGATTGTAGCTGTGTAGGAAGTAGGCTGGGCGGAGCGCCAAGTAGGGAGAAGGTCCTGAACTCTTGTGTTGGTGGTGGCGAGAGCAAGCTCTCATTGACATTGGTTTTGACAACTTTTCAGTGATACGATTCTCCATTGGTGTCATATTGGTGCAGTGCTGCTTTCTGGACACTGGTACTTTCTGGCTTTCAATGTGATTGTGCATTCTGGTTATTGTCATCTCACTTCTGCTCATTTTCCTTGCATTAATCTAGAAATCTATAAAATACATATGATTATACACTAATTGATTCATTCAAATAAAATAGATTCAGTTATAACTTATAATTCACAATAATAATGAATAATTATATATGTCGATTATGTATATGTATATTATGTGTTTTTTGTTCTATAGAATCTCTAATGTAAAAGAGATATTAACAAAAAACGAATGTTATTTATTATTTAGTATTTACTGATTAAATGATACGCGCGCGGGTGTGTGTGTGTGTGTGTGTGTGTGTGTGTGTGTGTTTCAAAACATCCCAAACTCTCTCTCTCATTCCTTCCACAAATCATCACAAACCATCCATGAAAGGCAATATAGTAGAAGATGCAAGGTTGGCCACGTTTGTATGGTTAAGCGCCAAGTGCCCACACACCCGTCTGCCATCAAAGCGGCACACTTCCACAAATTATATATGAATATTTTGTAGTCCATAAAAGGATGTGTGTGTGTGTGTGTGTGTGTGTGTGTGTGTGTGTGTGTGTGTGTGTGTGTGTGTGTGTGTGTGTGTGTGGTACAACGCTCCCACGACTGCGCTGCAGTGTGTAGCGTCAAGAGGTGTGCTTATAAACAACGCATGGAAAAGAGCCCGCAGCCCGGCATGCCGATAAAAGGACTGCACATAAAGCCAAGGTTTCAAAATGAACCATACGACAAGCACCAAGCCAAATGGCTGCAAGACAAAAAAACAACAAGGCAGACAAAACTGGCAAGGCAAAGGTCAAGAAATGACGAGGCATTGAACAGCAGGCAGCAGCAAAAAACATAAGGTGGAGGGCACGGGGAAGGCAGGTGGGCAGACAAAAACAGCACAAAGCAGCGAAGCGTGGAGGGCACAGGGGAGGTGAATGGTGAGACAAGCAGCACACAATGAGGCAGACAGGAGAAGGCAGCAAAGCACGTAGGCTGGAGGGCATGCGGGAGGCCGGTGGGCAGGGAAACAGCACAAGGCAGCAAAACACGTAGGGTGGAAGGCATGGGGGAGGAGGGTGGGCAGCCAAGGAGAACGATGGCGAGGCAAACAGCAACAAATCAAGAGCAGCAATCAAAAAGAGTACGAGTATGAACACAAGACAAAGACTGAAAAAATAAAACTTGTGATGGATTGTTTCGTCGGAGTTGCACCGACTCATCAGGAGGCTGAACCCTCGAGAATCTTCGGAATCTCCGTATTGATGGTTGGGTCATGAACCCTCTGACCCCCAAGCGGAACATGGCAGCGGGCAGCAACTTGGCGAAGCACCAGGCAATGCGGCCAGGGGAACACGACTCCACAACGCCAAAAACAACTGCAAGGAATGACAAGGCAAGCAGACGAGCGGCAAGGCAACTGTGCAGTGAAGCACAACGCAACACCATCAAGGCAGCCAAACTACTCAGCACACAAGGAAAGGACACCAAGGCAAGGCACGTAGATGGGCAGCAAGGCATCCGGGCAGCGAAGCACAAGGCAACACCAATACCACAGCCACACCACGCACACAGTGAACACCGAAGCTTGCCAAGAATGACAGGCGAAGCAAGCGGGATGGGCAGCAAGGAAGCAGCGGAGCGCAGGCGAGGTAGTCTACACATCCAACACAGAGCGAACCGGCACATCATGGTTGAACCCCGCAGACTATTGGTTCTGTTACATGCACAGATATGCCATGTACGTAATAACCGAGGATCTGCAATGTGATGAAAAGGACAGAATGGACAATGCAGTGCGAGTAGAATCTCGACAGACAATGTGCATTCTCATACAGACAAAAGGTGCTGAATAGCGCAGGGAAGACTTTGATACAAAGACTGACCTGACAGGACTGACCGCATTCACGTAGTTCAGAGTAGCAAAACAGAATGCTAGAGTAGTACTAACTAGCCCAATCAATGTTTGAACTCAGACTAAACATGCATGATATCCATCACCAAGTGTGAAGGAGCCTGGCGCTGTACACAGGAAGAAAGCGCCAGGTCCAGACATACACAGACGAAGAGATAAGGATCAGACGAAAGGAGGGAGAAGGATGGGAATGTCGTTAAC